CAAAAATTCCCATAAACACACTCCTAAACCTTGTGGACAGCCTTCCCAGAAGAGTTGAAGCTGTTCTAGCTGCAAAGGGTGGACCGACGTCATATTGAACCCTATGGATTAGGAACGGGATGTCACTTAAGCTCATATGTGAGTCAAGGCAGGTGAGCAAATACTTTTGGCAATATAGTGTATTTTACTTCAGGGTTATGAACATCGTGGATGTGAATGCCTAAAATCCAGGAATTAGGCCTACATGATTCCTCACTAGAGGTGGAGGAGGGTTTTTTTCTCTCGATGCAGCTGATGTGATGTTTTAATTTCCTCTATACTCATTTCTGAAAATAAAATCAAAAGCAATGCAAAAAAAAAAACATACTTTTCGCATGTTCTAAGGTTGACGACGTACACAAAGTCGAGCACAAATGTAAGGCTAAAACACATAATTTAGTAACCCCCTCTAGTTTTTTATTATGTCAGCTAGTACTTTTTTGCAAAATAGCTGAGGCTCATTCTGATTGTATATGTTTCCTCTTCATACACAAAAATATTTATATATCTGTGGAAAATAGTACTTTTTTTCTCCATTGGAATAACTCTAAATTTAGTGGAAATCCCAAATTACGATACAACGTGTACATGTTTGTAAACGTAGTGCATTTTGCAGAACACTGACCACTAGGCAGCAGCAATGTGTTTCCAATACATTCTTTGCTGTGCAGGAGTTTGAAGAAAATTCTTCATCTATAGCCTGAAAAACGATACCAAATCTGGACTTTGACTAGGCCATTTTAACATAAGACTATATGCTTTTCACTAAACCACTCTATGGTTGCTTTGGCTGTGTATTTATGGTTGTATCACGCTCAAAGGTGAACCTTACCTTCAGTCTTAAAGTCTCTTTGCCTCTAACAGTTTTTTTTTTTTTTAGCAATATTATCTTTGTTCAACTCAATCCGTTTCCCCGTAAATTCTGACCAGCTTCCATCCATTATCTGACACGCTTGTCCCAAGTGGGGTCGCGAGGGGTGCTGGTGCCTATCTCCAGCAGTCAATGGGCGAGAGGCGGGGTCTCGTGTTAGTGTTAGTTTCGCTACAACATAGTCTTTAACATACTGGTCAAGAAATGCAGGTTTTGCTCTCCTCTGACCAGAAAACCACAGTTTTTGTTGCAAACTCTTAACAGGACATTTCATGGCTGTCTTTCAGCAGTTTTTTTTTCTTGCTACTCTTACAAAAAAAAAAAAAAAAAAAAGCCAGAAGTATAGTGCATCACCAATTGCACGCCTGAGCAATTGATCTCTACAGCTGTATGCTGATGAAGGTTCTCAGTCATCCAGGTCATAGTCATTCCGTAAAAATTCAAAAAATATCCACTGGACTTGGTTTTCAAGATATTTTCCGTAAAAATTCAAAAAATATCCACTGGACTTGGTTTTCAAGATTTGAAGACGTTTCAGCAGAAGAACGTTTCAAACAGAAGAGCGGCTGCCTCTGGACAAGACTCCGCAGTACACCTACACCTTATGGACAAAGGACATTCTTTTGAGGACCAGAATGTCCATATTCTGGATAAAGAAAATAGGTGGTTTGAGAGGGGCGTGAAGGAAGCCATCTATGTTAAGAGAGAAAAACCAACTT